TTAAGAAATGGGGAGTTTAAGCAACTTACCCATTATAAAACTGTTCTGTTCCAAAGCCAGGATTTAAATCCTAGTTCTTAAACCCTGGAATCTATGCTCAGGCTACGCTATCTTCCATGAGAAAAAGAAGTTGAAAAACACAACACAAAACCTTCCTCCAAACACTTAAATGTTAATATGCAGCGAATATTCTAAATCTACATTAGACATTTTCTAGCTATACAGAAGTGATAAAGGGAAAAATTCTTTGGAATGACCCTGAGCGTTATGACGATATGCAAACTTATGAATCATTTCACAATTTACTTTGACTATAAAAATTATAACTGATCTATATTACTTAGTGTAATTCTCTAATTGCTTTATGATGTTAATCCTATACCTCCCTTATAGAAAACTCCAGAAAAAATAATTGGTAGCTTCTATTTCTTATGGGTAACAACTGTAAGTAATAATGTATCCTGTACCCAACAAAAGTAACCACAAATATTTCTGTTTCCTATATGCTACCAGGCACTATTCCAAGCCCTTTACATCTGTTAACTTAATTATCAGAATAACTGTAAGATAGGTACAACTATTATCCTCAGCTTTAGGTGAGGACAGCGAAGCACCTGGCAGATTACAGACGGCCACAACTTCTTTGACACTCCTCCCAAGGGAAGGTGGGACCTACGTCTCGTCCTGTGAATCTGAGCAGCCTCTGCCTGAATCAACAGGACAGGCGAAAGGAAGGGGGTAAATCTGTGCTCATTTCTGGGCCCAGGCCCTAAGGGCTGGCAGCTCCCACCTTCCATCTTTGGAACACTGGCTCTGGAAGGTCTCGTCGGCAGTAAGACTGTAAGACGCCCAACTGGAGAGAATACATAGAGTGGGAGAAGGGCTCAGCTGGGCCCAGCCTTCCACCAGCCCTTCCCAGTATGGGAGCAAATATGGGAGCGGAGACACTGCGAACTCTCTAGACCAGCCCCACCACACATCTATGACAAGAATGTGAGGGTGGAAAGATGGACTGAACGGCATGAAAACAAAGAAAATATGGGAAAAGAGAACAAGAAACACACAAGAAAAAGCTTAGGCAGGTGTGAACGAAGAGGTGCTTTGAAAGNAAAAGAAAACCCCAAAACCAGCATATAGGATGTTTCCCCTCTCTGATTTCTTATCAAAGAAAAGTTCTTACCAGGAATTCTATTCCTTAATCTTTTGATCCTGAAAGGATAAGAAATATATATAGAAGGCTGACATTAATTAGAATGATTAAAAACAAAGACAAACTGCCAAAATGCTCCTCGTCACCCCAAATATAATACACTTTAATTAAAAGGCTCTTTTCCTCTCAGGTCACTATAAATACAAGAGCAGAAAAACCCACAATGCACTACAAAACAAAAGGGGAGTGCAATTCACGGAGAAAATAAAATTAAGTCTCTGTACAGTTAGATGAACAAAGTCTAAAGTACGTACCTAAAGTACTGACTGAACGCGGCCAGGACGTTCTTATGAGCTTTGAAGCAGACGCCCTTCACCACCAGCATGCAGTCACAGAGCAGGCCCTGAATCCGCTGCTCGTGCAGCTGCTGGAGGAGGTGGCAGCTGTGGGCAGCCACGGGGTCCATGCTCTACCGTTCAGGAGACCTGCAACCAAGAACGCGGTAAGAGAGTGGTTCTCAATGATGTGACTGCAAACTACGCGGCCCCCAAACCCACTGACTGATGGTAGTTCGCTGCCGTGATTCCTGTCACCACAGTTTAAAAAACAAACAGGAAAAACAGTTTCTTAAGCATCTAGACTGGTGCCAGTCAACAGATCTCTGCGGTGAGGAAAACATTTCATATCCGCACTCTTCAATACAGTGGCCGTTAGCCACACGTGGCCACTGAGAGCTTGAAACGTGGCTCGTGTGACCAAGGAACAGGACCTTTCATTTATACTAAACAGTCTTTATATTTCACAGTGCAAATCTAGAATATGACTGTGACAATATTATAATCACTTCTTTCGTTTCTACTTAGGGATACTGCAATGAAAATACATACATATATAAACACAAGGTTAGGAAAAAAGCCAACTGGGAAAGATCAAATCAATATTTATTGAGCACTGTATATGGGGCACTAAATTAGAAGTTGAGGAAAATTCGGAGCCTATCTGAGGAGTTAAGGTATAAGTCAAAATAAACTATCCCACTAGACCACGATGACAGAAGTATCGTAAAGCAGATGTCCGCTCACTCGTTCCTTCAGGCCTCTGAGAAGGCGCGACTTTAGCAGACGCCTGAAGGAAGCAAGGAGTGAGCCGTGGGTACCTGGGGCGGCGACACCAGCAACACCAGTGTGGCGAGGCAGGTGAGTGGTGGGACACGATGCGGGAGGGGGAGGGCGGGAAGAGGGTCACCCAGGGCCTGGCGGGTCCTGCCTTTGACTCCGGATGAGATGTCCCCATCTCGGGTGGGTACAAAAAGTTCCATCATTCAACATCTATGTATGGACTGGCTGTGTGCCCGGTTCTAGAGCTACAACAATGAACAAAACACGTCAGGGTCCCCACCCTCAGGAAGCTTCAATTCTGGGAAGGGGACACACACACACAAGTACATGACACACAACTAAACAAAATAGTTCGGGCATAAACAAAATAGCTGGGCACGTGAATACACAAGTGAGTTAAGACATGGGCTCTGACGCCCAGCTCACTATAAGAGGATTTATGGAAGAGGAATGCAGGCACATCTCATTTTATTGCATTTTGCTTTATTGCGCTTCACAGGTGTTGCATTTTTAAGCAAATTGAAGGCAAGACCCTCCACCAGCAAAAAAACCCCGATATTCGCTTTATTGCGGTGCTCCGGAACCGAACCTTCAATATCTCTGAGATATGCTTGCCTGCACTGGGGAGAAATGAAGTCAGATTGGGACAAGACTATGGAGGTTAATGTGGCAGTCTGGGACACTAAAAACCTAAAAGGCCACTATCTGCTTTATTTGCATTCATTCTCAGTGCACAAGCATTACTGAAAAAAGTCACTAAACCATGAAGCTAAAAATTGAATCTTTTTAACACGGCTCCTCCTTCTATCAATATTACTATTACTATTATTATTATTACCTCTCATCCTATTCCTCCCAGATGTGCCGGGCCAAACAAACTACCCGCAGCCCCCAAACAGGCTGTGTTCCTGGCCAGTGGAGGGGCCCTAGCCCACTCTCAGTAGCGATGTGACTTTGGGCAATGACTTCTCCACGTCCTGCGTTCCTCATCCCATCTCACAGGTACTGAGATAAACGTGAGAACCCACGTGAATATCAGAACAGCAACTGGCACGTGTAAGTATCCAACAAACGTTATCTATGAGGAACACCTGGAGAGACTGCTAGAAAGGCACACTTCTGGACACTGTCCCAGAGTTTTGCTCGGCCCGTTGAGCGTGGGGCCCAGGCATCTGCATTGTAAGCATCCAGGGGTTGCGAAGCGGGAGGACTGCACCCGTCTCTGCCTTGCTCTCTCCTCCAAAAGCCTCTGGTTCTGATGCTTCCTGTCCTGGGAATACTTTATTTGCTTCTGACTCTCCCACTTCCACATAACGCCCTCCCCCATCAAGGCTCAGCTGAGCTGTCACCAACTCCGAGAAGCCTTTCCAATTGCTCATAACACATTCCCTCTTCCCCACTGCTGCTCCTCAAGTCTGACTTCGGGGTCACTCCTCTGTGACCTTACAGCACCCCTACAAACTTCCAGAAGATAGCTTGTGCTCCATCAGTTGTGTCTCCAGCGCTGCTGTGAGCTCTGAGGGTACTCTCTTACTCATTTTTGCCTGGCACATAGCAGATACCTAGCCGTTAAAATTCCTGCTAGCTAACTGCTGTAGCTAATTCATGATGTTTAGTAATGTTTTCTAGTTATGTCTTTTTGACTCCCTCTACATTCCTCACAATAGCTCTTCTAAATCCTTCCCATTCTCTTCATTCTCACCAAGTCTGTCTCCCTTATCCATAAAAGTGACTGTGACCCTGACTTCACCAAGAAGGTTGAGCCCATGGATAACTTGCTATAACCTTTAGTTTCTTCTCAATCCCCAATTCCCACTCACCCCTCCCTCAACCCCTTCAGCTCCACAGGATGGAGTGTGCCTTCTCCCCTTGAGCCCATCCCCTCCTGATACCCCGAGACTTTGCCTCATCACCACCCCTTTCAGTTTTCACTCAGTCCTCCACTGGCTCACCAGTTCCTACAAACACAACAAGCTCACCTCATGCTGAAAAAAAGCAAAACAAAATAGGTCAACAAAGCCCTCCCACCAGGCGCATCTCTGCGTCACAGACCTCCTCCACACTTTCACAATAGCTATCTACACATCCCGCTGTACTCTCTCAGGACTCGGGTCTCACCTTGCAACCTTGCTGCCATCCTCACTCAGGTGCGGAAGCAGACCTGTCCACAGTGGCCTGTCCTCAGTCCCAGCCTCCCCGGCTTTCCTGCCACATGTGGTCAGCAGGCGGCCTGCCTCGACCTTGAAATGCCTCCTTCCAGAGGATGCTTCTGCTTCTCTTACTGCGCCCCCGACCTGCTGTACTTCCTCCTCTGCAAGTCCCTGAAATGTTAATGTTAAGCCCAGCACCTGAGCCCTCTCCTTGCCTTCGACAATCACATCTGCTCTTGGCCTTCATCTCTTCTAAGCAGACAAGTCCTAAATTTGAAACTTTAGCTTCGACCACGAGTCCCAAATGTCCAACATTTTACTAAACATCTCCAACTGTATGACCCCTCAACTCAGAATCTCCAAAACTCACCCGTCATCTCGCCCTCAGCTCTACACCTTATTCTGAGTCCCCTGTTTCTCTATGAAAGCCTGGTTTCTGGTATGTAGCGTTTGGGGTACGGGCAATGATATCTCCTTGTTTGAGATCAGGCTGGGATTCAGAGAAAACCAGACTAAAGGTGATGTCATCTATAAAGAACAACACTGCAGCCCTGGGAGTGGACAATATTACCCCTAAACAAGAATACAGAAACGGAAGCATTATGTCGAGTGGCGGGGCACTGTCCCCAGTGCTGAATCCTCCAAGGTGCTGAACAGCCCAACGACAGGAATCAGTTACCCCCGCCCCATCGGTTGCCAGAGAGAAGAGAAGTCTTCTTGGTTTATTATTAACTATCATTTACTGACTGCTTATTACAGGCTGGGCATTGTGCTAAGCATATTATAGCCATTAATTCAAATAAGGCTACATGAATCCTACTATCACCATTTTACAAGTGAGGAAATTAAGAAATGGGGAGTTTAAGCAACTTACCCATTATAAAACTGTTCTGTTCCAAAGCCAGGATTTAAATCCTAGTTCTTAAACCCTG